ATGTATATATATGCATATGAATATGTATGTATATATATATATATATTTATACACATATACATACATATTCACATATATATACATATTCAATGTATATATGGATATATATGTATATATATGAATATGTATATATACATATGTGAATATATATATATATATATATATATTATTTGTGTATATATGTATATGTAATTTTTTATTTTATTTTTAAAAAATAAATTTTAAAATTCTGTAATTTTTTAAAAGTTTTTTTAAAAAATTGTGTATATATGTAAAAATGTGTATATATGTAAATGTACAAGTGTGTATATATATATATGTATATAATTATATATGTAGATGTATATGTGTATATATGTATATGTATATAATTGTGTATAGATATAAAAGTGTATATATATGTATATGTAATTTTTTATTTTATTTTTAAAAAATAAAATTTGAAATTCTGTATTTTTTATTTTATTTTATTAGTTTTTAAAAAAATTCTAGAAATTTTTTATTTTTATTTTATTTTTTTATTTATTTTCTGATGTGGCTGGATGATGTGGTGAAATGTGCTGATTTGGCGAAATTTGTATGACGTGGCATGCCACGTCAGCATTAAAATTGACGGAACATAACGTCGTTTACGGATATGGAGGAAATTGCAACACATTTTAAGATTTTTGTGTAGGAATTTGGAAATATTTGAAATCCGGTGTAGTTTTTTGTCAAATTAAAAATTGGTGTAGAAAATTGGAACTTTTTCGAAAATTTGTGGAGGAATATGTGATTATCCCTTTAAAAAAAGATTAAAGACAAATTTATTGTAGTTCTCGTCATCCTCTCCATTGGAATCGTTCGTCTTTATCAATTATCACTATTACTTCGAGCTCATAATTACAGATTTCATTTTCGTTAAAGTGAATTCACAAGGAACAAGGGTAAAATTATTGATTTTTACATTTTATTGTAACTTAATTAATATTTTAGAGGTTGGAGAAAAATATTCTCAGAGATTCTAAAAGATTCGTTCCCCCCCCCCATAGACAGCGATGGAAATGACTACCACTACCAATCGAAGTCTAATCATAACGTTAACGAGAAATTTTGCACAAACAGCAAAAGCACATCATCCACGTGTTTACAAAGTTTTTCAAAGTCTTTAAGCGAGAAAAGAGGGAACCCAGAAACAAAGCAAACACCAAATGGTCACAAAGAGCTCCATCATCATTCAGCGGTAGAACACAAACCGAAACCAAAACAAACATACACCACTTGGGTCAACAAGAGCTTGTTCACCTTTCAGCAGTAGAACATGACACGCTTCACATTATCCTTAAGGGCAGGAAGAGGCCTAACACTGGCACTCGCTCCCCGGGTGGAGGTCCTCCCACGACCAGCTACACTTCCACTTGTCATTGAACCACTGTCCGATGTCTCCGGCTCCATGTAGAAACGTGCCCTGAATGCCGCCAGGTGTGCATAGTATGCCGGCGGCACTTCCACATTAAACACCATTTTTCCCCCTCATTAGTTCCTCCAGATTTTTTTCCCGAATTAAACTGGATAGATGTCGATTATTAAGAGAAGACGAGACGACACTCACCAATGGAAACCGAACGGGTGCACCTCGCATAAGTGTAGCAGAGGTTGTTTGTCAGAGTCTGCAATGCATCTGCAGTGAAGTTGTTCTCATCCCAAAGCACGTGGTAATGAGCTGGCCTCGAAGTCCCCTGTAATCATTAGCCGATAACTGTAATTCTTAAATACCCCACGAAACTCTGTCTACACAATCATGGACCCATTTTTGGTGTCACCCATTTTTTTACCTGAATACCAGCATGGCTGCAGAGATAGAAATCAAACTCCGTGGGGTGACAAATTTTAGAATCCACAACCGTCCCTGAAAGTTAAAAAAAGAATCCATGTTTCAGAGGGTCTCAGTAAAACCAGAGAACTCACACCGTGAAACTAGTCTGACCTGGTAATATATTTCCACTCCTATCCACCGATTGGCGATCGCGGTGGTTGCTAGCAAACAACCTTGTGTGGTGACGCTTCTGAACAACGACAAAAGTGACAGGAGGCTGATAATTGGGTTCCAGAGAAGCACAGGCCTGACATGATTTACACAGAGATCTTAGGCTGAAAATATCCACCGTGATTAATTACGGCATATGATTCACAACTTAAGCCATATGTTAACAAGTCATACCTTACGGATAGCATCAAGTTCATAGAGAAGTACTTGATAGAACTGCCCTTCGCTGACACCATCCCTGAAGGTCAACCATAACATCATGAACACATGCCATGAAACTACAAACAAAAGAGCACCAAAAGAAGAAGATAATACCTGTAGAATATGATCCTCTGTGGCTTATGTCCAGTTGATCTACGGAAGGAAATCAGTAACTCCCTACAGCAGACCAGAGAAAAACCCAAGCAGGAGAGTCAGCAAGCTAATGCCAATAACTATCGATAAGAACAGAAAATCATATCAAACATACTTTATCATGCCACCAGTCACTGTGCCTCTCACAGGATCCTTCCACTCCTTGAATAAATCTTGAATGAGCTCCTGCCTATGCGCTTGAGCACAAACCAAACCAGCATATTTTGTGATCTCAGGCCAGTCTTGAGAGGCGACCACCTGAAAATCAAATATTATCATCTATTGGGATGTACAAAACAAGCCATCCAATCAAAAACTCAATTAGAAAACATAACATACAGCAGCAATAGAGGGGCTAGAATCTTCTCCAGGGTGAGGATGAGTGACATCAGCTCCAAAAATTATGGTAGGCCGATCACTGACTAGAGGAATCCGCCTTGATATTGCATCATCAAGCACGGTGTTCCTTCCACCGACCTTTACATTTATCTTTAAGGCCACATTGGCCAAATACTGCTTGCTCATCTTGAAAACATGCTTGGTCAGACAGCACTGAGAAACAATCCCAAGATCTGTTTCACAGATCCGTTTTAGATCACCTGCAAGTGATAAAAATAAATAAGATGAAAAGCAGGATTGATAAGCAATTACGCAAAGATGCAATCCTACAGATGGCTCATACCATATAACGATCCATTGTTGTCAGGCAGAATAACAATAAGGAGCTCAAGTTCCTTCCCTTGAGGTTGAAGCTTGGCCATGGCATCACGATATTGAGTTCGCAAAACCTTTTCTACATACTCAGGACGACCAGTGACTGGTGGGAGCACTGACTCAGGATTAAATACCTGGGTTTAACATCAAAACCATTTTCAAGACAGCACAGGAGAAGCTGACAAACTGCAAATAATTCTATACCATAGCAAACCTTACCATGCCAGATATGTAGCACATCTGAGCAAGTTCCTGACAAAAAGTACGTGCCACATTATCCTGCACTTGCCTAGAAAAGTTGATGCACATCCAATGATCCACAGTTCCTCCATTGACCATTTTCTACAACAAGGACTCGCCTCAGTCAGAGAACAACCGACATACATACCATGGCAACTTTCAACACGACAAACCCAAATTATGGGAAGCAATTGTACACATGTATCAACCTACAATAGAAAAATACCGCTTTGTACCTAAATTAAGGGATACTTCACAGACAAGAAAAAGGAGACACCATATAATACCACGCTATTATATTGTACAAGAGAATACATTGGAGAAACCATATAAGAGAGCGGAGGGCAGGCGGCAGCAGCAGGAGATAGTGGGAAGAAGGGAAAAGAAACATCAAATAACAACGTAGATGAATAAGATATGGCTATATGAGCAGAAGCTTCATCACTTCATCAAAGAGTAAACAAGAACTAACGGGCAAAAAGCAGAAGGATCAATACACAAATCTGCAAATACCTTGTTCATCATGTTCCACTGTCCAACTTGTGGCAGACACTTCCTTTCCCTA